TTTTCAGGGTCATCTGCAATATCTGGGATGTTGGCACCTGCCATAAGCTGGAAAAGATTGAGGATAAGATTCACAGACTTTCTTAAAATGTTGTAGGCCTCGCAGCAGTAGGACTTGAACCTCCGATAATGAAGACTGTCAAGGAAGACGCCGCCCAGTTCATGAGAAGAAGAAACGGAAAGTTAACTGAGTTAAAATAAAAAAATATAGGAATCAAGATGTGAGTGAGATAAAAAAAAACGACTCTCAATTATCCAAAATAACTTGGACGGAGTTCACGCACTGAAGCACTACTGTCCGTAAGTTGCATCGAAATGTGCGCACTTTTCTCAAAGAGAAGTTCCACATTTAAAGCACTGTCCTTGGGTCAATCAAACTGAGGCTACATCCGGGTGGCCTAGGCAGCCCGGACCCACCTGCCCGGATCACGTGGACGGGGAAAAGAGTGTTTCCCCCCTCCTCTCCCCCCCCCACCCCCCCCTCTCCTCAACTTGTGATAGGCATTTCTGCACCCAATGAGATGTGTCCAAATTTGGCCTTATCTTGAAGCTTGCAGTCTGACCTTAGGGCCTTAGGGGGTCTGAAGGGTATAAAAAACTTCAAAAAGGGTTTTAAAGTTTAAAGTTTAATAAAGGTGATTTAATCAGTCTATGACTCCATGGCAGTCTATGCAGATCAAGATCCTACGTGCCCACCTTCACTCTTTCAAAATTTATGTATGTGACACACACACACACACACACACACACACACACACACACACACACGCGCATACACACACACACACATTGTTTGTTTGTTCTCTCTCTGTGTTCACCCACTGCTCTGTTCAGGTCAAAGTGCAACACCTTTAAAGCACCAGTACACCATACATCGCCCCGCTGGTGTCAGCATGAAACCCGCACCACTTCGGAGGCCGCCGATCTTTTTTTTCAACGGCACCGCTGGCCGCGCGGCTTCTCCGAGTTTTGCTTGTGGCGACAAAAACTTTCTGCAAGGCTGGGCCCATGTACTAGCGGTTTAAGATGTGCCACATAGCTCGTGGCTTTTTGCTGCAAGGCTGCAGCAGCACTATAAGGGAGGGCTACTTGCTTTATGATGCTGTGTGTCTCTGCGGGCGTTCTGTGTCTGGCGGTGTTGTGCCTTACACCACCACCACTACCTCCGAGCCTGTTTCTTTTTTTTTGCCGAACCTGAATTTCACTGCGCAGTGCGCACAGAGTTTTGCCGAGCCCGAGTTCCGTTGTCATTTCTTTTTTGCTGAACCTCATGGGAATTGCATCCAAAAAAGAACAGAAAATTTCGGCGAAAAAAGAAAAAAGAAGGGACAAAAGAAAAAGGAACTTCCCTAATGCCGTGATAGCTACCAGGTACATTCTCTGAGGTGCTGTTGAGACTGTGCCCTCAAAACACTGCGGGCGTCTGCCCCATCAAACACAAATGAAAAAAAAAAAAAAAAAAAAAAACCCTTATGCTGTGATCGCTGTGGGATACAGGATGCTACAGACTACAGTGCTGGTGGCCCTTGCGGAATCCGGCCTGCCTAACTGGCAGGTCACGGAAAGGACAAGAAATCAAGAAAAACGAAAACGAAAACATAAGCAATCACGTTCCACATATGCTGGCCAGCCAGCATATGTTGTGCTCCACTCTTGCCTGCCAGCCAGCTTGGGTTTTTATATGCTGCATACTGCATACTGTGCTCCAGGGCTTGTTGTGTTGCCGTGTGCTGCCCGTCACACCTCCTCCCCCCCCTTCCCCTCCCCCTCCCCTCCCCCTCCTCTCCTCCCCTCCCCTCTTTTTTCATTGCTAACTCTCCCTTTTCCTCT